TTCAGAACATAAAAAGTGGGCCAGGATGTCAGATGGCCAAGATGAGCAGGAGGAACACAGGTGATGGGCACATGGACCACTGGGCAGACTTGTGGGCAGAACCACACTGTGGTCTGTGGTCCTGTCTGCTCCTCAGAAAGAGGACGTGCAGGCCCGCCAGGTTGTTGAACTGGAATCCTGGTGTTATATCTGGCCTCCTAAAGACTAAAGGTCTCCTCCTCCTCCAGGCCAGGAAGAGCTAGGCAGAGACAAGATCTCAGAGTGGGTGGCAGAGACAAGTTCTCAGAGTGGGTAGCCGAGTGGCCAGCCTTGCCCAGGCTGGGTCCCCTCCCCTTTAACCTGAGTTGATAGTGTATACAGAGCCTCGGGCCCACTCAGATCCCTCCCCAGGCAGCTCAGTCACAGGGAGCCCAGCAGAGTTCCCTGCCCTCCTCAGCTATCTCCCCATTCCTACTGCCCATTTTCAGTTCCACAGGCTGCCAAGGGCAAGAAATAACAGGGCCTGAGAAGGCCAAGCACGGGGGGACTTGCCTGGCCCTTCAGCCCATAGCTCCAGACAGGAGTACCTTTTCCAGGATTTGGTCCCCACCCCCAGTGACTTATCCATCCATCCCCACTGGGATTCAGAGCCACCCCCCCACCCCCACCTTCCAGGGAAGTCAGAGACAGACTCTCAGCCAAGGAGGGGGCCTGGTGGTCCAAAGGAGTGACTGACTCTTTTCCTTTTGTTTGCTCACAGGAGGGGACAAACGCCCTGTGTGCACAGAGGTTTGATGTGACAACTTGATAGACCACATAAGGGTTTCAGCAAAGGCCTCCCGACCCCGCTCTCCATGCATTAAGATAATGGTGGGGTGTGTAGCACGTTTCAGATCTTGGCTACAAAGGCCCTCCTTCCTTCTATTTTCCTCCTCCGGCTTTGCCCACAGGTTCCCAGAGACTCTTGGCAGCTCGCTCTCAGGCAGAATGAAGTTGTGAGCTGCGTGGGAGGCAGTTAGGCAGCAAGAGTGTTGCAGCCTCCTTAATGAGGGACAATAGCTCTTCTTGGAGCCATGAAGCCGCAGCTACAGAGATGGGGAACCCCACTTAGAAAGGAGTGGGAGAAGTAAAGAGATGCCTGCGGGGCAGATCTGTATCTGTGGTGGTTCTGTGGGACCCACTGGTAGAGATCTAGCTGGTCAGGTGTAGAATCTCCTTTCCTTCTTAAGGTGAGACGTTCCAGTGGCTGTAGAACCAACCCTTGGTAGTGACCCTGCAAAACACATGAGTTGAAAGGAGGAGGAAAAATTATTGGAGAGAAGGATTTCTTGAATTTGTAGCTCAGATATTATAATCCAAGAATATGAAAGGAAATATTTATTTTGTTTAATGGACATCATCTGTAGGTTTTTTGACATTATATATGTGTGCAAATGGGTATTTGTACACAGTGATAGCTCTCGTTTGTTCTGGCTTTCAGCTGAATCACATTATGTTTACAGCAAGATAATAATCCTGGATTTTCCATGGCTCAGTCTGTCAGAGTATAAGATTAGCTCTTGAATTCATTAACAGTCATCGCCTTTTAAATGTCAGATAACTTTTTAAATGCCAAGTGCTTACACAACAGCTTCTGTGCAATTCAAATCAGCTTTACCAAATTAACTCATTAATCTTTATTGTTTCATTTACTGAAGAGAAAGGCTCCCAGGTGTTTTTAGCAGAACATAAAAATATTCGAGTATTTACAGTACAATATAAGTGAAGGAAAGTGTTTTGATTTTCTACTAAACATTTCACCCTTCCATCAGTTTTGTAATCATTCCCACTGACGTGTACATGTAAGAGACAAAAAAAAACTTCAGTCATCTCTGCTTTCTTCTACTTGCTCCACTTTCCTTTTCTTTCTCCTCAGGTTTTCTTCTCCCATCTGCACCCTGAGACCTTGACCCCCCTTTACTATTTATTCTGCCATCCTTAAGAGCTACAAGTGTCGATGATGATGACTGTACCACCCAGAAAACAGAGGGGTGCCCCACAGGGGGAGGGATGGAGTCTGAAGCCTGGAGGCAGAACTGGCCTAGAAGTCAGGGTATTCTACTTTCCTTTCCAGAGAACCCCCCTGAATAATCAGATGCGGGCTACACTGACTGCTAAACATAGATCCGCCCAGGGCTGGCTCCTTCTTGTCACCCAGTTCTCTGCTCACATGTCACTTCCTCAGAGAGGTCTCCCCTAATCACCCAAAGGCAAACCCCACCCCTTCCCTCATCAACCTCCTTCCGCTCACTATTTCCTTGTCTTCGTAGATTTACCACTATATCAATCATCCTGCTTATTTATGTGTTTGTTTGTCCAACTAACACAGTATCACCCAATAAATATCGGCAAATGAAAAGCCACCCCAAAGCATGGCTTTCTTTCCTGGTTTCAACGTTCTGACTTTTTCTCCTTTACCACTGCCTCCCAGAATCCTCTTAATGTATTTAATCTTCTTTCCTTTCAGTATCATTTATTTGTTGGAACACTGGAACATAACAAGCAAACACAGTACTGCACGTTCCAGTGACTTTAGACCCTTCACTGAAACCATTCCATCAAGCTAGAATCGATGGCCCCTGAACATTAGGGAGATAAGCCGTACTGTCAAGAAAATTGTTTTATCAAAAGATTTATAGGTCAAGTGACTTGGAAGGACTTTTCTCAAAGCCTCTTGACTCCCCAGTCTTTAATCTGAGCCCCACAAAAGGAGTTAAAGCAATTCCAGCCGTTGGAACTAGTCTTGGCTGGGCTTTTGTCCTCCAGCCTAACACAAAATCTCCTCTTGGAGATGATGGAGAAACTTCCCTCAAATCAGTATGGTCTGATTTCTATTATTCCACCCAGTGATTCATGCATGATTTTGGAAGCTAGAGAGCTTGAAATGCTGTCTGATTCTTGCTTGGACCAAATGCTTTTATTTGATCTGGAGACAGGGAGGGGAGCTCTCACTCTGAAAAGCTAATCAGATATAGGGCTAAGATGACAAAAAAAAATTTGGATATGTAGTTGTCCAGAAAAATCTTTATCTCTAGCCACATTTCAAAACATAGGAAAAGGGTGTGGGTGTTCATCAGAAGGATGGCTGCCTGTGGGGACCCACCAACTGCCAATTCACCATTAATACTTAAAAGTAGTAGAAATGTTACGGGAGGGAGAATTATGCCTAGAGAGACAGCTACGTGAGAGTTAGCCTCCTAGAAAATATGGAAATGATCAAATCCACACCCAGGGTGATCTCATGGCACATTAATGTATGTGACCCCAGCAAACCAGCCCTGAAAAATAACTAGTAACTTTCCTCTTTGGAAATGAGGAGCCAGCACTACACAGAGACAAGACAGGAGGTCAACATGTGCTTCCTGGAAAGGCGTCTTTCTGGCCCTCCCCATTTTAACTGAGTTGGGCCATAACATGTAGCTTGCCCCCAGCGTGATCATTACTCTTTTGTTCAGCAAATATGTATCAAATGTGGATTCATCTCCAGACCTATGTCCAGCACTGCAGTTCCATGGGAACAAGACAGTCATGGTTCCTGCCCTCATGGAGCTTACAGTCTCACGGGGAGGAAAGGTGGCCATACAAGTGTGAGTGTCACCTCGGGCAGCGGTGGGAAGTGCTCAGTTCCCTGGGGAGTCATGGGAGGCACAGACCTGAAGGATGAGGAGAGTTAGAAGGGAGGGGTGTGTTCCCAGGAGAGGGACAGGCTGTGGGACAGCCTTGCTCCAGGAACTGATGGCAGTCCTCTGCACTTGCTCTTCCCACAGTCAGCCCCACAGAAACTCCCCTCACCTTCTTCAGAGCTTCACTCTACATCACTTTCTTGCAGGGGGTAGGGGTGTCGGTGGGGGGTGCCTTCCTTGTCTGCTTAAAATTGCAGCGTTCACCATCATCCCCAGCTACTCACCACTCCCTCTCTGCCTTATTTTTCTTTATATCATGAATCACCTTCAAACATAACTTATGTTCCACTTGTTTCCTTATTATCTCTTCCCTCTCAGCAGGACGTATGTGCAGTCTTCCTGAGAGTGAAGACTTCTATATGCTTCTTGCACTGCCATGTATCTCCTCTGCCGGGCATAGAGCAAGCACTCAATAAATATTTGCTGGATGACTCAGTGAGGCAGGAAAGATAGTCCAGAGCCAGGCAGGAAGGGTCTTGTAAACCTTTTAAACAGGTTGGCCTTCATCCTGCGAGTAAGGGCCTTTGAAGGCTTTAAGCAGGAGAATGATGTGGTCCGGTCTGCATCCTGGAAGTATCATCCAGGCTGCAGCAAAGGCACGGGCTGGAAAGCCACTGCAGATTGTACTTGGTGGTGCCCTGAGGCATCCCCATCTGCAGATTGTGGAGACAGGGGATCGGAGAGCCCCCAGGGGCTCCCAGTCTCCTCTGGCAGCCCACTCTTACTTCCCTCTCTGCTGGATTTGTTCAAGTACCTCTTTCTAACACATCAAATACATTTTAAACTTGGAAATAAACTAGAATCTTGATATAACTTTGTTTGCTGCAAGGCAGATTTGATAACCGTTCGTGGAAGCTGTCGAAGTATCAAAAAGATATCGTTAAAAAAGGAGTTTGGGACAGTCCATGATTTCAGCTCTGCCGTTTACCAGCTGTATGGCTTTGGGCAAGTTACTTAACCTCACAGAACTTCCAGTTTCTCATCTATGAAATAAGAATAACAATACCTGCCTCAAGGGTTTGTGGTGGGGATTAAATAAAATGATTACAATCCTGGAACACAGTAAGGTCCCTTTTCCCAGTTTCCCATTACACCGACCCCAGGTATGAATTAATAACTGGTCTCAGGTTATTCTCTATACGCATGGGTCCCCTGTGTCTTCCATGGTAAAAATAGGTGTTACTATTAGTGTTCCCACAATGAAGAATTGCTTTCTATAAATATTTGGGGATTTGGACTAGCTCTTGTCGCACTGTATATCATTCCTATGAAAGCTGGGCTTTCTGCTTCTCTTCACAGGGAGCCCAGCAGTCCTCGGAGGCAGCAGCTCAGAAGACAGGAGAGCCTCAAAGTTGTATAAATAAAGGGCTGATATGTTCAAACAGAAAAGAATTTTACACGCGAAAGCTGCACATCGACATGACGCCGTTCCTGAAGGTGATCTCACACTGAGAAGACGAGGGGCTTTATAGACACATACACAGGAATTCCAGTTAATACACTTCTGCATGGTACAAAAACAGCTTCAGAAGTCCCTCAGAGTTCCTGCTTCATCAGAAGGGACAGAAAATAGGCAGTTTGTAGCAGATGAAGAAAGAACAAATTAGGACAGTAATCACAGGCAGCCATCGGGGACGAATCGGTTGGGTGTCTGGCTTGGGTGGTGGAGGACAGGGAACAGAGAGGAGAAAGGATAACCTTGAACCACTTATAAAACGGGCAAATATAGTTCATTTTATATTGACAGTAGCTAAAATAGCTGTTAGTGTTTTACCAGCGTAACTTGCTGCTGTAAGAAGACTGATTCTTGAGGTAACTAGAAGGCAACTGCAAATCCTCTATTGTCTAGGAGTTCATCACTCTCCCAAGCTCTGCTTCGCATCCAGTTAAGGGTGCTGAGAGTTCCTGTTGGGGGATGGCATTTTCCGTCCTTGCAACACTGACTCCCGCCCCAGCATCTAACACAGCATCTGGCACATGGAAGGCACTTACTAAATGTTCCATAAATGGACTCCCCTTTTCATCCCACAGCCCTCTGGCTTCAGGCCCTCTTCCTCTCCATTCTTTGCTCCCCTCAGAGGTGAATGAACTAGAAATAAATGACCATGGAGTAAAAGAAACTGATCAGAAACAAAGCAAGTCTTGGCATGGAAGGATCTCAGATCCCTCACACTACCCCAGAGCACAACATCCCAGGCCTTTGATAAGAAGAGACAAGGAAAGGCAGAAACAGAGAAGAGACCAAACACTCGTGGGGCTCATGATGGTGGCACTAGCTAGTGCTGTAGACTTGCAGGGACTTCCAAGCTCATGTGGGTCACCCTCCTAACCTCAGCTGATCCGGAGTTCTTAGGTTACATCCCAGTCCCAGCTCTGCAAGGTGGGACTTTGATCAAGAGTCATGTATTTGTCCTAAATCTGTCTCTCTCCATGGCTGAGCTCTGCTTTCCTGTTTCCTCTTAGACAGACTCTTTCCCCATGGGAATGAGATAGCCACCAGCTTCTATTCTCTAGATCACTGACCCAAATGGGGTCACGTGGCCATGGGCAATTGAATCACCATAGGCAGGGGAATGGAATACACTGATTTTCCCAGCCTGGAGCCACAGGAACTAAGAGTGTGGAGGGGGAGAAGTGTCTCAAAAAGGAAAAATTAAAAATAGAATAGAGAGGATGATTCTGGGCAAGCAAAACAAAAGGGTTTTTTGCTACAAAAGTTCAAAATAATTAATTTGATTCATTACTCACTGTATTAGTTTGCTAGGGCCACCACAACAATGTAGCACAGACTGGGTGGCTTACACTACAGAAATTTATTTTCTCACAATTCTGGAGGCTAGAAGTCCAAGGTCAAGGTGTCAGCAGAATTGATTTCTTCTGGGGCCTTTCTCATTGGCTTGTAGAGAGCCATCTTCTCCATGTGTCTTCACATGGTCTTCCCTCTATGTCTGTGTCCTAATCCCCTCTTCTTATAAGGACACCAGTCATATTGGATTAGGACCCACCCTAATGACTTCAGTTTACCTCTTTAAAAAGCCTAGCTCCAAATACAGTCACATTCTGGGGTACTGAGGGTGGACTTCATATGACTTTTGGAGGAACACAATTCACCCTAAAACACTTAGATTACTGAAACGATCCTTTTTTTTTACCCCTTGACAACAGTTTAGTTCTTCCCTTAGGGCTTGAAGAATTATGGTTTGTACTTCCTGGGATGAGATACCATTATCATCACCATTCACTCAACCCCTGATGAGCACCTAGTAACTGCTCTGTGTTTGGCACTTCCTGGACATCTGAGATACGTCAGCACACAAAACAGACTGAGATCCTTGTCCTGCTCCAGGCAACACGTACAGTATATTAGGTTGATAATTGCTACGGAAATGAGATAAGAACATATTTATGGAGCCTCTAGAAGCAGCAAGTGAGGAATTTTACAGTAAGTTTTTTTTGTGTGTTTAGTGTCCACAATGCTTTAGTGTTATATGTTTTTGTTCAGCAATTTTGGCACCATATTATAGAAGGATTGGGATGTAACCTAAGAACTCTGGATCAGCTGAGGTTAGAAGGGTGACCCACATGAGCTTGGAAGTCCCTGCAAGTCTACAGCACTAGCTAGTGCCACCATCATGAGCCCCATGAGTGTTTGGTCTCTTCTCTGTTTCTGCCTTTCCTTGTCTCTTCTTATCAAAGGCCTGGGATGTTGTGCTCTGGGGTAGTGTGAGGGATCTGAGATCCTTCCATGCCAAGACTTGCTTTGTCATCCCTAAAGCCCACTTTCCAGTCCACTCTTCTCAAGACTTTGTAACTCGGCCTGCTTCTTCATGAGACTCACAGGGACACACTCGGCTTTCTGACTCCCAGACCAGTTCTTGCTCCAAAGACCCCATCTTTTCTTGTAGATGTTCAGTGCTACCAGCTCTCCCTAAATAAACCTTCTTGTTGACGTGGTAGCTCCTGGATTCTTAGGGATTGCCTTATGGAAAGACACAAATCTCAGGCTTGTACAGTAAAGGATGGAGAGTTCAAACCAAGAAGGGCACACAGGCCGTCCAAGTGAGTCTACATGTTTCATTTGTGCATTTCCTGCCTGGTCACAGGACAGCTCATTCATTTTTACTTGGTGCGTGTACGAAGCATTGTACATTTCAGGGGATGAGGATAGGAAATAAAAATATTGAAAAGGGAAACAGAAAGAGATATAAATAATCACAATTGCTAACATTACTGAACACTTACTCTGTGCTAGGCTCTAAGTTTTACATTTAAGAACTGATTTAACTCACAAAACTAACCTAAGAAGTAGGTAACATTACCCATTTTACAGATGAGAAAAATAAAGCATCAAGAAGTAAAATAACCTCCTGAATGTCATACAGTTGGCATATAGCAGAAACAAGATTCAAAGTCAGGCCGCCCAGCTCCAGAGCCCATGTTTTCAACCATCTGCTATAAAGCTTCCCTGCAGACTCCAGCCGAGTCCTATCCAGTCAAAGGCTCTGCCTGCCAGGTTAGCTAAGCATCCAGCACAGCTCCCGGAAAATTCCATCCCTGAGCACTCATCCAGTCTGCTGTAGGAAGATCTTCTGACCCTACAGGACTCTGCCCTTCCCTTTAGACAGCATATGTGGAGCACCCACTGTGCATCAGACACTGTGCTAGGCACTGAGAATGCAGAGATGAGTCATCTCCACCCCTGGGCTTCCAAGGAGCCTGTAATCTAAGAGGAAGATAAACACAGAAGCCGATATCAGCACAGTATTGTAGCAGAGGCAGGCCCGGGTTGCTATGGGAGAGACTCATTCATTTCTGTTATTACACATGGAATCCTCCTCCAGTTTAAGAACCTCTTTATAGCACTATTAGCTAACCTGTTATCAGGCTTCGATTTGGGGAAAAATGAGTGATCCAGAGTACATCTGGGTTCACATAAATATTGAACCATGTTTTTTTAAAAATCCGTTTTTGAAAAAGAAATGGTAATTGATGAATAAATTAGGATAGAGATTTGATTTTTTTTTCCCAGGAACTTTAATAAATTATCAGGGTTAGGTCGTGGTAGTGGGGAAGAAAATAGCAATAATGCCAATTAGTGCCAGATACAGAATTGAATATGCGTGTACTCAACATTGACATCAAAGGGTATGTGTGTTATGCCCAGAAGATGTGAAGAATGAGAAATAAGCTTCCGCCTCACAGTCATCACACAGGCAGTTATCACTTGGTGCCCTCAAAGAGGGCAGGGGAACCTGCCTGAAATCAAGTACTTTGAACAGTCCTTTCCCACCGCCCTCAGTTCAGGGCTGGTCCTGAGTTTTACTTATGCAGGCAGGTGCGCACATCCCACCAAGCAGAGGTTGGCTGTCACTGCCACTGAATCCTGTGGTTGTGTGTGGGAGAGGCAGCATGGATTTCAGTGAGCGGAAGTAACAGGGAAAAAATGTTTGGCTCAAAACGTGTCCAAAGATGGAGCAGGCCCCACAGGAGGCAAGTTTTGGTGCCTAGACTCATTGAAATCTGTTTGTTTCTTTTAATTGAAGTATAGTTGATTTACAACGTTGTGTGGTGAACAGCATAGTGATTCAGTTATATATATATATATATTCTTTTTCATTATAGGTTATTTCAAGATAATGGATATAATTCCCTGTGCTATACAATAAATCCTTGTTGCTTATCTATTTTATATATAGTAGTTTGTATCTGCTAATCCCAAACTCCTAATTTATCCCTCCTCACCCTCTTTCTCTTTGGTAACCATAAGTTTGTTTTCTATGTCTGTGAGTCTTTTTCTGTTTTGTAAGTAAGTTCATTTGTGTCATTTCTTTTAGATCCTACATATAAGTGATATCATATGATATTTGTCTTTCTCTGTCTGACTTACTTCATTTGGTATTATAATCTCTAGGTCCACCCATGTTGCTGCAAATGGCATTATTTCATTCTTTTTTATGGCTGAGTAATATTCCATTGTATCTTCTTTATCCAGTCATCTGTCGATGGACATTTAAGTTGCCCCCATGTATTGGCTATTGTAAATAATGCTGCTATGAACACTGTGGTGCATGTATCTTTTCCAATTGGAGTTTTCTCTGGATATATGCCCAGGAGTGGGATTGCTGTATCATAGGGCAACTATTTTCCATTTTTTAAGGAATCTCCATTCTGTTCTTCATAGTGGCTGCACCAATTTACATTCCCACCAACAGTATAGAATAGAAGGGTTCCCTTTTCTCCACACCCTCTCTGGTACTTTTCATTTGTGGAGTTTTGAATGATGGCCATTCTGACTGGTGTGAGGTGAAAGCTCATTGTAGTTTTGATTTGCATTTCTCTGATAGTGATAGTGAGCATCTTTTCGTGTGTCTATTGGCCATCTGGATGTCTTCATTGGAGAAATGCCTATTTAGGTCTTCTGTCCATTTTTTGATTGGGTTGTTTGTTTTTTGGTTTGGGGAGTTTTTTGTTATTGAATTGTATTAACTATTCATATATTCTAGAAGTTAAGCCCTTGTCAGTCTCATCATTTGCAAATATTTTCTCCCAGTCTGCAGGCTGTCTTTTCATTTTGTTTATGGTTTCCTTTGCTGTGCAAAATCTTTTAAGTTTAATTAGGTCCCATCTGTTTATGAAATTTGTTTTGTTGACCACTGGCAGGAGAGTTGTAGAGGAATCACAAGCCGGTTTCGAGATGCAGTGATTCCAGGACACTTGAATGATACTTTTGCCAGGAAAAATATTCAGGGCATTGAGTCTGTTACAGTTACCAAAGAAAGAAGCCCCGGATTAAGTGGACTATTACCAATGTTAAAGTATCTGACCAGTAGTTGGGAAGCTCTGGGTTTTCTTTAACTTTGAGTGACCTTGTAATGCTTCCAGGACTTGGCTTCCTTTTTAGTAAAATGGAGATAATGATGCTGGGACCTCCATACCTGCCTGTCAACAGTAAGGTGAAAATTACACGAAATAATAATCTTCAAAGACTGTTCACATCTATAAAGTATTCTATTTATGAAGGAGAAAGGAAGAAACATTCATTGATCCCTGCTGAGGGCCAGGCCTCTCACATATGAATTCTTGTTTAATTTTCCCAACCCCCTTCCTGTTAAGTGTGAAGTTTCCCACTGTGCAGATGAGGAAACTGAGGATAGGCCAGATGAGATGACAAATGGTGACGTGCCTGGCAGCAAGGCGAGCTAGGATTCAAAGCCATCAAACCCACAATACCTGATATTGATGAGGTCTATCTTTTTCGTTCCTGAGAAAAATTTACTTGTACATCTTTGTTCTGGCTTCAGAACCCTGGAGAGGAGCTGACACTTAATAAAATAATAATATATTTTAATCTTAACAACACAAGATACCTTATGATTTTCATAAGTCAGTTTTCTCTATTAAAGAATAAGTGTGGGACCTTATTAATACACAAGAAAAGTTGTACGACCTTGAAGTTGAAACTCAGAAATGATGTACTGATTTCCTTCCATCATTAAGGAGACATCAAAAATAGTCATTTAGATGCATGTGTTACATGATATGTTACACAGAATTTCTGAATGTATTTTCCTAATTAAGCCTTTCAAGAACTCTGTACAAAAATGTATCATTACTCCCATTTCACAGATGGAGAAGCTGAGGTTCAATGATAGGTCCTGCAGCACGGGGCTGATGGAAGCCCCACCTCTGGCTCCTGTATCCCCTGCTCCCTGCTCCTCCTGGCAGTTCTTTACAAAAGCCTGCTGTGGGCCAAGAGGTACCAGGCTCAGATCGGGGACTATGCATGAGGGTGAAGGGCAGAACTGGTGGAGGGTTCTCCAAGGACAGATGAGAACTTCAGGCCACTTGACCCAGCCCCTGTCAGTTGAAGAAACTGAGGCTCAGAGGTTAAGTACCTCGCATGATCTTCAAGGCATAAAGTGTAGGAGTCAGGGCTTCAGTATAGGCAGTCTGACTCCAGGATCTGCACCCCAACTGCTCAGGCCACTGTCTCTCATGTCTGGTTTTAGTGCTGCAGTTTGTGTTTACAAAGTGTTTGTTACTGGCCCCAGCCACCCCACCCCTCCCCAGCCCTATAATACCACACCATTGCCAGTGCTTTTTCTAAATACAGCTCAGTCATATCACTGGTTTGCTTGAAATTCTTTACCACATCCCCATTGGCCTTCCAGTTAAATCCTGGCATCAAAGATATATTTCTTTTATAAAGAGAAAAATACAACAAATGAATTTTTTTTTAACTCCAGACTGCAAGATGCAAGATCTGGCCCATGTCTGATTCACACTGTCCCTTACTGCAACCATGCCAGACTACCCCCCAACCAGCACATGCTACCTTCTCTGCGGGAACTGCCCTGCCTCCCCTTCCCTGCAAGACTCAGCACCATGTCCACTAGTAAACAAACCTTCCCAGCCTAATTTAGCTTCACCTCCCATGAGGTCCTGCAGAAATCTGTCATAGCCTGTCACAACATTTCTCACACTGCATAGCGACAGTGAGCTTTCTTGTCGTTTCTCTACAAGTCAATGGGCTTCTTACAAATAGATCTTTCAGCCTCGTGCCCCCAGTGCCCAGCACAATACCTGCCACACAACAGACACAGTAAATATTCATAAGCTGAATGAACAGATGAAGAGCAAATGACTTGGCCAGAATAACAGAGCTGGGACTTGAATTTCCAATCCTTCAGTTTGTTCTGTTCAATCAACAAGTATTATCACCTGTGTTTCAATCATTGCCATTGCAACTTATGTTAAAAGTGACAGCATTTTATTTAGTTTCAGTTTTTTTAATTCAAATTTTGAATCCAAAATATATTCAGGAGGTTTAAAATTGGTTAAGTATAAGAGTGTATGTCTCCTAGCTGGATTCCCTCCCCCTTGGACACCACTGTTGCTGGTTTCCTGGGTACCTTTCCTGAGTTGTAGCGGGCACATATAGGCCAATACAGAGAGTTTTTTTTTTATACACGTTTTAACACATTATACACATTGCTCACAGTATTTTTTTTTACTTAATATATCTTGGAGTTCTATCATCTAAAGAGATGCTTTTTTTTAATTCTTATTTTTTTATTGAAGTGTAGTCGATTTACAATGTTAGTTTCAGGTGTACAGCAAAGCAATTCAGTTACACATATACATACATATATATACATTCAGATTCTTTTCCACTACAGCTCATTACAAGAAATTGAATATAGTTCCCTGTGCTATACAGCAGGTTCTTGGTGTTTATCTGTTTCATATATAGTAATGTGTATCTGTTTATCCTGAACTCCTAATCTACCCCTCCCCCTCCTCCCATAACCACAGTTTGTTTTCTGTGTGAGTAAAGAGATGCTTTTTAATGGTTGCATACTATTCACTGTATGAATTACCATACTTTATTTAAACCGTCCCCAATTGATGGTACATGTAGGTTGTTTCCAATTCGTTGTAATGAATGATTTTAGGTGTAAGTCTTTTCATATGTGTGTTCATATATGTAAAAAATGATAGCTTTTTGACACTTTTCTAAGCAATAGGCAAAATTTCAAATTAAGTTTATTTCTTACAGGGACTCATCAGAAGATTCTTTCCAAATTCCTCCCTCTCTCTGCCTTTGTCTCCCTATCTGCGAAATGAGAATATTTCTTGCCCTTGAAGGCTTCTAGCTGCTTGTTGTTAAGGCTGAAGGTTTATTTTTCTGGGCTTTGAAATTCTTCCAAAGGAGGAAGCTTGTTTCTCCCTTTTAATCCAATTTCCTGTTAGACTAAAAGGATTTATAAACAGGATTTTTTTAAATGTATCTCTTTTCTAGTGTTCTAATTTAGCAGTTTACTAGACTGAGGCCATTTATCCTGCAATCATTTTTTTAAACCTTTCCCTTTATTCAAGGATGATTTTTTTTTTTACAGCATCAGGACAAATCTGCTTTGTCTCCAAAAGGAGAAATTCAGAAGAAAGAAAATTACTTACCTGCTTTAGCCTTTTTTTACATCAGAATATCTCATCAGCTACAAACCCTAAGCTAACAAGTGAGAAACAAGCAGGGTAAAAAGCCATCTAGGGAGCAGAGAATTTCAAACACATTAGCAGATAATTCTCTTCCCAAAACAGCTTGGGTATTTGATAATAAAGTGGAAAATTGATTGTCACTAAAGGGTGAGGAACTTTAGTCCCAGGAGAGGCTTCTAGGGCCCTCAGATTCCTTCTCTACTGCTGAATTGAAGCTGTGGCTTAATCAGAGATCCAGGTGACAAAGGCCAAGAGCTGGCCTCATTGGACTCCAGGGCTTTATTTGGGTCACTGACTCTACTGCCATGTTTCCTTGGCTACTGAAGAGCTGCTCTTCCAACCGTCTGGAGAAGGTCCATGACTCTCAGTTCTGGCTGCATATTGGAGTCACTCAAGGAGCCTTAAAAATGCCCCACTTCCAGAAAGTCTGATTTTAACATTTGGGGTTCAGTCCTGGGGATAAATATTTTTTAAAGCTTCACAAATAATTCTGAAGTGCAGCCAGGGTTGAGGACCATCGTTATGGAGATTTCTGGGCAGTGGGGTTGCAGGCAGTTGGTGTGACTCAGAGAAAGAAGGAAGAGGGGATTCCATCTGATAAGAAACCCAATCCATGGTAATCCTGGAAACTGCGCAAAAGGCCAAGCTGATCCTTTTGCACCCCTGCTTTAAACCCTCAGTGCCTTCCATTTGTTTTTAAGGAAAGACCAAAATCCTTAACCTATGTCCAAAGCCCTGAAGGTCTGACTCCTCCCTACTCTTCTCACTTCTCTCCATCTCTATGAGGGTTGCCCTGGACCTCCCTCAAGTCCCTGGAGCTACCTGCTGCCTCCCGCCAGCTGGCCTTGGCCTGTGACATTCGTCTCCCCATGCACATCAGGCATGGAGCACTGCTCAGATGGATGGGACCAGCCTCCCACAAGAGGAGGACCTAACAGTACTCAGGCCACTGCTAAGCCCTCCTGGCTCTTCAGGGCCTTTCACACTAGCCAGCAGGCTTCTTGGATGCTTAAGTTAAAATAACTTGACCAAAAAAAAGGAGAAGAGACAACCAAGAAAACTGGATTCCCTTTTACTAAAGGGCATGGACCCTGGGAGTGCTTGCTTTTATTTTGTCTTATATGCTTTTTGTTGTTGTTAACCTAATAGGAAAGTGGAGATGAACTGGACTATCATGAAGAAGCAGGAGGACCCCTAACAGAAAATCATCTGGATGCTCAAGGTAGAGACAGATGGGATGGGTTTTAAAATCTGATCGCCAAAATTCTGGGATGAACTTTGCACTTTTCAAAGATGTTGATGGGGAATGGCCTTTCCATTTCCTCTCAGGTCATGGGTTGAAAGTCAGAATACAGACTCTGGATGTGCTCTTAATGCATCACAAGCCAACTGATAATAACATGCTTTTATGTCCTTGGATTTATTGAAAGATTTCTTTCCTGCCAACAGCTGCAGATTGATGGAGGAGAGAGGAGCTTTTGGGGGGCATTACAAAAAGGCCCCCGGGCACCTCTACCTCTGGTTTTTTCTGCTTTCACAGGGCCTTGGACATGCAGGTGAGCGAGCTGAGGTTCCCTGCCTCATGGGGTAGCATTCCAACAGAGGGGGGACGAGCATCTTTAGAGACCCAACCCCTATCACTCACAGCTCTGGGTAGTCAGTGCTGCTTGAGTGTAGCTTCCTCCAAAAATGATGATGCATTTGATAATGATGATGGCTCTAGGAAACACTGGCCCTGGAACTGGGCTTTTTGGCATGGTTCATATTTTGATACCCTGAAGTAGACTCTAAGCTCTTCCCTGGGGGCACCTGGGCATGCCACATGCTGCAGTCAGCTTGGCCCAGGTAGCAGAGCTGGTCTTTATCCTCACTGCTTCTTGTGCAGGAGTGAAAACAGATGTGTGAGAGACTCTTGCATTTCAAGGACTGGATGCAGGGCCTGCCAACCCAAACTGTGCTTGTTGTTTGCCATACAAAGGCGTCCAGCAGAGGGAGCCAGTGAGGGCTGAAATCCAGCCTGTGCTCTGCTCCCTGAGCCATGTTCCCCAGCACTGGGCGCATCCACCCACAGGAGGCTCCTTTTCCTACTTGGCCCTTCTACTGGGGCACCTTTCTCTAAGTGACATAAGGTGTTCCATATAGGCAAGCAGCAGCAGATGCAAGCAAGAGTAGAGAGCCTGGGCTCTGCAGCTGGACTACCTCTGCCTTACCCTCTCCATGTTCAGCCTGAATGTCCTCAGCTGAGGCTGCAAACAGTACTCCCCTCGTAAGGTCGCATGAAGAATAAATGAAGTAATTCAGGTACCATTGCCCTTTAATGAATATTAACTTCAACTTGGATATCACAATGGATAAGTATCTGCCCTCTCGTGGTCACAGTTTACCAGTCTGTGAAATGACACCATGATTCTTCCTGTCCCATCTGGACCCCCAAAGGATGAGAGAGAGACCGTAGAACTCACTGGAGAGATAAGTGTGCAAAGTCATGGATTTGGGATTTCACCCTAATTTGATCTTTTTCTGTTTATATCTTTTATTATTTCTTTCAGTTAACATTCCAAAAACAATTAATTTTTATACTCATTTTAAAAGATTTCACTGCTTCTGGATATCAGACAATAAAATATTATGGTAGCTTGATCCTTGTGTTCAGTCAAACTTTTCAGCAAGGTTTCTGCTAACATAAGTCTCCTGCCACCTCCATTTTCAAAGCTGAATGACAGTAGCCAGGGAAATGCATTCCAGTCTTCAGATCTTCAATATCGTAAATCACATATCTAAATTGTGAACACTGATGAGGCTCCAAGGTCTTGGCCAAGTGCAGTGAAGCACAGAACACGGCCAAATGTAAGCAATGGCCAAGTCAGTCAGAATAGATTTCCTGTCTCCCGACAGAGGGACAGGCCGCGGCTGAGTTCCATAAAGGTTATTCCGTCTTTAACACAGTGAAATATCACTGCAGAAAATTAAAGAAGGCATTTGCTTGTCCTGAATGATAAATGCTAATGTTTAAAAAAGGATTTCAAATCTTTGAAGGAAAAAAAAGGAGAGCGTGTCAAGGAATTTTTTTTTTTTAACTATTTAAGGATCAGTTTTCCTCTCCTAGATCTTATGGCTAATTGTCAGGATTTTCTTCCTACTCTGAATTAAGTAGTGATCTACAGGGTTAATTATAAGCAATGAGCCAAGGCCACGTCCAATGAGAATACCATGAGTCTTGGACTTGGTGAGAATACAGCATGCAAGTTTTCACAAGACAGGTCAAATCAGCAACCTCTAAATCAAAGAGAGTTTGGGAAATTGCTCTTGTTTTAAATATAAAACCTTTCCTTCCTCCTCTCTTTCCCACCCCCAAAGTCCAAGGAAAGAATTTCCATTCTTGTTTCAATTCTTATTTCCTAGGCCAACAGTTCTCAAACCTCAGTGTGCATCAGAACCACCTGGAAGGCTTGTTAAAAGAAATATGTCTAGACTACACGTTCTGAGGTCACAGAATTTGCAATTTGATTAAGTTCCTCAGTGATTCTGAGGTTAGTGGTCCAGGGACCACACTTTGAGAACCACTGTCCTGGGCCTTGCTTTGAGGATTTATTTCTCTGAATTTGGCAGTGACTTAATTTAATCTATTACCTTGAAAACAATGGGGGGTGGAAGGATTGGAGGACACTGCTGACGCAGCATCACAGTGATCAAGAGCATCTATTATCAAGTCTGAGTCCCTGAGTTCAAATCCTAGTTCCACCACTTAATAACTGTGTAACCTTGAGTAAGTTACCAAACTTCTCTGGGCATCTTTTTTCTTCATCTGTAAAACGGGGATGCTAATAGTACTTGTCTCGTGGGGTGGTTGTGCCATAAAGGAGTTAATACATGTAATGTGTTTGTAAGAGTGCCTGGCACAGAGTAAATGCTCACTAAATGTTAGCTATTAGTCTCTTTCTTAAAAGCTTAATTTTGGTAGCCATCATTTGCAGCTGATCAGGAGAGACTTGTTCTAAGTTGATAACATGATGTGTGACATGATGCTTTCTTTACTTTCCAGATCAGGCTCAGTTGTGGGAAGGGGGGTCAGATCACTTGCCCTTGAAGGACTGATTGAGGCCCCTGTGTAAGTCCTTTTGCTTCCATTCTGGGATGGGCGGCAGAACCAGTGTGAAAGAGGTTATGTTGCAGTGGTGACACCACCCCTTGGAATGCGGCAGAGCTTAAGATATTCTTAGGAGCTCTGAGGGATCTGGGGAGCCCTGCATGAGGGGGAGGGGTCCCTAGTGAGCAGCCTGAGACAATGGGGGGATGGGGGCAAAGGGCAAGTCTGACAGAAAACCTTAGGGACCAAGGAGCCATTTATATTCTACCAGGATAAAAAGGCTCAGAGCATCATTGCTTTATGCAAAAGACAGATGTGCAATACTTAGGATGCTGGTTCTAACAAAGGCCAAAATTAAGTGACTTCAAACAAGATGGAAGATTTATATCTCTCTCATGGAAAAGTCTAAGCTGGCAGGCAGGGGGTAGGACAGCTCTACTCCACTAGGCTGTCCAGGGGTCCAGGCTCCTCTCTTATCGTCTCTCTGCTCTCCTCCCCACCACCAGCCCCATATTACCCTGGTCTGCATTGTCAAAGCTGGCTCAGCATCTCCCTCACCCTGCAGAACAGGAGAGAAAAAGTCAGTGCTGGACCCACAGCTGCCTTTCAAGGGCACAATTCAGATATTGCCCCTCTTCCACTTGTGCTCACATCCCGTTAGCCCCCCGAGCTACAGGAGAGGCTGGAAACCGAAGTCTCTTGCTGGGTGTCCACGTGGCAAGCTAAAACTTGAGGGGTCTGCCACCCAAAGGCAGAAGGAGGATGGACATTAGGTGGCAGTTAGCACCTCTGCCACATGTGGGCAGATGGCTCTGTCTTGCAGATGCTTTCCTACCTCGTGGAGTCAGAGTCACCACGGTGGGTCATTTCTCTCTTTGCTGCAAACACCATGCATGTTTTAGCTGTCCCCTCTGTGACTGGCCTGAGAAGAGGAGCTGGAGTCTCCCTCTTTCCTCCACTGGTCTTTAGACTGCCAAAGGGAGAGCTAAAAATCATGATGCATTTGTGAATTGCCTGATAACATCTTAAAGTGCAAAGACTTCTGTAAGGCTTGGGCAGTGTCATTTCCACTGACTCTGACGGGAACTGCCTAAGGAGCCAGGCTCTCTTCTTTGAGAACAAGCCCCTTATTAGGAAGTGGCCACCACCAGCGGCTTTCCACTGCACTATCACTCGATGACGCTGCCACCTCCCCCAGAGCACTGAAGCCTAATTCAATTTCACACATACTTACTGGGCAACCGCTAAGTACCACTTTATAGCCCCATGTGTTATATATGTTTCTAGAAGGCGAGGACTGTGCCTTATTTAGCCAGGCTTACCAAATGTTCCATAAACAAACGCATGACTCAAATGAATGGAGGAATGGGTGCCTGAGTACTCAGGAGATTCAAAGATGGCAAAACCAAGTTTCCTGCCCTCAAGAGCTTACACTGAAAACTCGACTTCAGGCTTGGCATATTCCCCGTGACGTCACAGTGCCTGCAGGGGTTAGTAAGGTCCCAGTCCTCCGAAAGGGTGCACTCAGACCCACAGCCACCAGCCAGGACCTGCCTCTCCACCAGAGACACAAAGGCAGCCAACAGGGGTGGAGGACGGCTACCTCTGATGGGGAAGATGAGCAGGTGAGGAGGGTGCTGGCTCTGTTGACTTCTAGGTGAGTGGCCCACTAGCCACCAGGCCTTCATTAATCTGACAAGACTGGTCTGATTAGGGGCTGGTGCACTAAGCAGTTACATCATAGAGCTGGAAGGTCCAGCCCTGGTTTTTGAGAGAATCACTGGTCTAGATCCTTTCTAGCTAGAACCTGGGGGCTTGTTAGAAATGCAGAATCTGGCATCTCACCTCAGACCTACCTATGCTTTAACAAGATCTTCAAGTGATCATGTGCCCATTACTATTTGACAAACCCTGGAATAGACTCATTGAGGACACTGCGTTTCGGATTTGAAAGACATGGGTTCTGTCACCAGCTCTGCCTTTGATTAGGCCCACAGTCTAGGGTATATCACTTCTCTGGCTGTGGATTCCTTTTCCATAAACCAGAGAGGTTGGGGTGGATAATCTCTCAGGCCCCATTCCACCCTCATGCTGTTTGCATCTATGACTCTCCCCAGCTTGTGCAGTGATCAGCA